AATGCGGGAAACATCATTAATGACTTGATGTACGCTTTGATGAAAACTCCCCGCTGAGGACCCATCTGTGCATAATTGTGTGACGTTAAATAATCTTGCTGCATCAGTGTTTATTTACATTTGTTGGTATGTAAAACCCAGAAATGATACATGTGACAAATATTTTACGCTGTTAAATTCTAGCTACATTTAAATTAATTTTAAAGCTTTTTAATGCTATATATGGCATAGATACGAGGGTTGTCCAAAAAGTTCGTGGACAATGACGATTTTGTGCAAAGAAATGGTTCTATATATATCTTTTGTATATCAAAATATTTCTTATAAAAAAAAAACAAATCAGAACGATTTCGTTTTTATGGATGGAACTTAATAGTTTTGTAAAAATCGGGGTCTTTAAAGACCGCATATTTGTTTGCACGGACAAGTTTCACGTTTAGCTAATTTCATTATAACGTCAAACATTTGGATTTTGACTAAACACATGTTCATGGACACACACTTCATTTCTTTTTTAAGGCGCAATGCACTTCCAAGTGCTAGCAAAAATCTTTAAGTATAGATTATAATTTATTTAATTTTTAAATTCAAAACAATGCACAAAAATTTACGAACATCATCTATATAAACAGTTTGTATACACAAACTGCACAGCCCAGTCCGACGCTGCGCTAGATTTATAACGTCATGAATAGAAATCTCCATTTTCAGTAAATTACATGTGCTTTTAAATTCTTGTAGGGTCTTCGAAATTTGTACACACAGTTGAAAAATCGTATATACCAATCTGAAATCGATACACTAAATATATTTCAAAAATTTTGAATTGTTTTAACAAATATTTTGTCTCTTACGTCGTTTCAACCGTATAACATCTTATTTTTTTATCGGACGCTGCCCCGTGCGGACAGCCGACGTCGATTTTTTTTGTCGAGTTTTGACACATATTTGAGAGGGTTTTTGTTTAGATTTTGTACTGTCTGTATAGTAAGCGATACTTAGGATATCATAAAATGATTATAGCCTCTTTATTTGTGTTACATAAAATTTTTATTAATTTTTGACTTGTCTTATTTAGAAAATAATCATTTAATACGAACACTTTATATCAGAGTTTATGTCATGTTAACCTTGGTCCGTGCGCACTATCCGCGACCTATTAAGACCCCGATTTTTACAAAAATATTAAGTTCCATCCATAAAAATTAAATCATTCTGATTTGTTTTTTCTTAAGAAATATTTTGATATTCAACAGATTTATAAAGAACCATTTATTTTGACGAAAACGTCATTGTCCACGAACTTTTTGGACAGCCCTCGTATATATAATCATCTTTTCAATGGCTGAATCAGCTTGATTTTAAACTGTCATCGTGGTCTTTGTTCATTACCCTATAAATGAGCCCGGCTTTCAGTACTTCTGAGTACTTTGATTTTCTATGCTTTCAGACAATTTTTGTTTCTTTTTCATGGAATTTAATTTTAAGGAGTCAGATCGAAAACAAATTTGACATTTAAAGAAGGTGGAAAGACCTCTTATTGTTCTGTGAACAATAAGTCTCCTAGTTTTTTATTATTATTTTTTTTTTATGGATCTTTAATCTTGAATACTGTTCGTTATCTCCATATATTTCTTTATACAAAGAATATAAAGAATATAAGTTATTTGCAATACTTTTCTGACATATAAATCGGCTATAATATGATAAATTTGTACAGGTTTGTCTTAGAAGAAATCGATACTTCATTTTATGTAAATATCTATCAAAGGTGCATATGAAAACCTCGATGCTTTGGTTCATAATGTGAGCCATCTGGCTAGCGGGTCTTTTTTTCATTTTGAGTTTCAAGATACTATATACGCAAATTTATGTCAATAGATGTTTTCTCCATGTGTTTTTCATTTCTTGCTCATTAATAAATTTATCAGTATCATTTTTGTCTATCGATACAAAATGCGATCCAGACATAGTCTACTGCGAGACAGGTTTCACTTTTTTGAGACGGTAAGTTGGGAATGGCAATGTCAGACCTGTTTCCTCAATCTCGACTTCATAAATAATTTCAACATTTTCAAATTTAGAAGATTACACCCCATCTAAACCACCTCCATCAACCTTTACAATATTATTGAATTATTTGGGACTTTTTCTTTCCATCATATACGTGCATTCGTTTACTTACATTACGTCAAGTGGCGTAGAAATACATAGTGTGTATACGAAAACGATATCCAGTGAGCTGTATCCAGGGGATAAAGGGCTAGATATGTGATAAAAAGATATATAAGATGTATTACCTCAAATTTTTACAAGCACACTTTAAGACATATTCGCTAGCCAAGGGCTTCTGATATTCTGCTCTCCTCATAGATGTTAAAACTTCAACATCAATATCTATATTAAAGATTTTAACTTTGAAAATAAATACTTTGTTCTTAATTATTCTTCAAAACTTTCATGATTTAAATACGTTATTGATCTCTGCTGATGACACAATCCGTGTGTACCTATTCAAATTCGAGATCATGTGACGAAAACAGTCTCATATTCTTCTCGCAGCACCGTATGCCAAGGGTTTCTGTATAGTGTAGCGTATCAGAAACCCTTGGCTAGCGAAGGTGACATTTAGAGAAGATTTAGAATCAAAGCGAAAGATATATTTTGTACATATAAATTCACCATTCTGTTTTCTTCGTTTTTAAAGGCAGTGTTGCATTTTCGGCTTACCAATCAACTGCTAAAAGTTACAAACAACACGAAACATGGATCTTCGATACAGTTCTCGTCAACGACGGGAATTCATATGAGAAGACAACAGGAATCTTTACCGCACCTTCTGACGGGACATATGGGTTTACCTGGGCAACATTAACAGATCCAAATAAAATGGCTCATCCCTTCCTGAGAGTTAATGGGCACTATAAAGGATATACTGCATTCAACAGTTTAGCCGTTCCAAAGAAATTCTGGAATAGCGGCTCTAATACGGTACTTGTTCGACTGAAGAAAGGTGACAAGGTCAACATTGCTTCAGGATATAGGAACGAGTTTGCCAGGGAAAATTACACTTCGTTTTCGGGATGGAAGATACAATAACTTTTTTTTGTTTAATTATAAAAGATTATAATTAGATTAATTAAGATATAAAATAAACAAATGTTTGTTTTAATCTTTAACACATCCTCAAACAAAATTTATTTCCTCTGCTGTTGACAGCTATCTGAATGGCTCAATTAAGATCAAATGATCAAGTTAAAAAAGTATTAAATTAATAGACTGGATGTGCCTATTTTAAACGTAAAAAACTTAAAGCTTAGAGTTTTGGTGTTTATACTATTTGAAACGTTCCTCTGTGAAGCAGCTGCTATTCGAACTTGTAATTTTATAATGCTTATGTATATTTTAAGACATTTCTTTTTAAATTTTATTAAAACTAGAGGTACTGTGAGTAATGAGATATTAACTAAATGATACCCCCGCCTCCCATATGAATATAATAGGAGTGTTCTTGTATTGTTGTGGGATTGTGGGATATGTGTCAGATTAAAGGTAAAAAAGGAGGTGCACAATGGCAATATGTAATAAAGATTCTGAGAAAGTTTCAACAAATTTCGTTCCTCCATTATACCCGAATTTTACTGTGTAGCTACAACACATTTTTTTTCTCAAACTAATAACTGTTTGAGAAGAAACACGTTTTTGAATTTGATTGGTAATTTTTCTTACAATCCAGCTACCCTAAAATATTTTTCAATCAAATGGAGACGCCACCACTTGCCAGTGGAGAGCTACAAATTTTGTCCTATACTCGGCACTCAGGGGCATTGAGCAGGAAGGGATCTTTTTCGTGCCAGCACCTACTGCGACACGGGACCTCGGTTTATACGGTCTCATCCGAAGGACTACGTCCAACACTGGGATTCGAACCCGCGACGTAAGGATTGACTCCTTACTTCGCGACTATAGAGCAGACGCTCTAACCACTGCGCCACGCGGGCGACAATAATCATCAGAGGTTATTGAATAGTTCAAGGACCTCCTCTTACACAGAAAATTTTCGTATAAAATTGATTTGAACATGATCACTGTTGCTAAGTTTGAAATAATACTGTATAAAGGACATTTGAAATTGCACTGAAATGTCTTTTATTGTGTTTTAAACTTACCTTAATATTGATTAGTTTTTTCATTCAAGATAACCGTGTAATGTGCTGTTTTTGTATATCAAGAAATTTTCAATTTCTCGCTTCGAAATAATTTGTCATAAGAAAACACACTTTTTTTGCCCTTGACATTTTTTAATCGCCAAAATGATTTAAAGCATTGGTTCAATTTTCTGTTTTTTTTACACATTTTATTCTGGGACCCAATTGAATCATTCTGTTGATTTTTTTTTTTTGTAAACATTGAATAATACATTTTCTAGTTAGACAACTTAAAGTGTAGGATATTTACATTTGAATATTGATTCCGACGCTATGCATGTTCTATTCTTAGGTATAATTTTATTCAAATTTTCCAGTATCAATATATATCTTACTGAGGTTTAAGTAACAAAATGTTATCTTTTAAAGCAGTATTACATCTATTTGCAATAGATAAATAGATAATTTTAAAATAAGGCTCATAATCAAAATATCAGAGTTTCAGAAAAATTGAATTTAAGGAAAAATTTTGCCTTTCTATTTTGTCCTACCTTAAGTACAAATACCCTTTCTTTTGCTTATAAATTTTATGACAATTGTAATTCTTTAAAGATCTTTTAACCTAGTTTCAGTTTTAAGTACAAATACTCTTTCCATTACTTTTAACTGTTATTTCTGTGGTAGAAGAAAAAAATGAATGAATGCTTTTAAAAAAGGATAGGCCTGTTAATGAATTAATAGTAAACATTTCTGTATCTTTCTGCATTTAAGCAAGCCTTTGTGATAAACTTAATTCACTCTTTAAAATCTTTTATTCAATATTGAGTCTTACATAATAAAGCTGTAATAATTCTATCTATTGTCTCGAATTTTCATTTCTGTGGTTTTCAAAGAGTAATGATACCCAAGCCAGTGATACCAGTTCACACCGTCAGCAAATGAAGAATGATGTCCCTTTAGGTATAGACCATTCAGGTTGGCATGGTGACAATCACCATACCACCAACCCCCTTTGTACGCCTTTTGACAACCACTGCTGTCCTGACGGTCTCGTGTATAGAATGGTCGACCATTATGATATGCCAAAGAATTGCCTTTTGAAGATATATATGTGAGAGCGATGACTGAAACAAGCTTATTCTGTGAAACCTGATTTTAAGTCATTTTTTTTTTTTAGAATTTTATATTGTTTGGCATGAAAATGGGTAATTCTTTTTCTTAAATAGAGAACTAAAATAATGCATCTTTAATTTTTTGGAAAATTACCTGCGTTTCCTTCATAGTCCCCGACAGTCAAACGGTAGTTGGAGGCTAGGTTACCCAGAGAGAATGTTCGATAATATGCATATCTCCTTTGGTTTTGAAAGTCTGAGAGATCCACTCTCAGCTCATACCAACCCTGAGATGTCAGCTGATGTATTCGTTCGTTACGTGGTTTATAACAAAGAAAATACATAGGGGAAAATATTACTAGATATGCATGTTATTAAAATGATTATTTAATATTCATATTTAACATATTTTACTTTTCACGTTGAAGATAAAATAACATTGTGAAAAATCATTGACAAAAATGTAACAGATTAAAATAGAGAAAAGTGACTAAATTTAGAAATAATGTAAAGATGTTAAACTTAAATTATTACTTTTAATGTAATAGATAAATCGATTTGAGAGAGAGAGAGAGAGAGAGAGAGAGAGAGAGAGAGAGAGAGAGAGAGAGAGAGAGAGAGATTCAGCCTAAGGCACAAATCTTATGGGACTTATGAATAAAAATTGTGATGATTTCTCAAGAAATTCGTGTTACATTATTTTATTTCATTCTCTCGTTTGTTTCGGTATCTATTTACTTTACCATTAATTGATTCTTATTACATATTAAATTTTGAAGAAAAACAAACGTTAAAAAGTTGATAAATACATTTCTTTTGAAAAATAATGAAGATAAAACAGTGAGCGACCTCACAAAAAATTCAAACAGTAGAAATATAAAATTAGAGCTTAAAAGTGGACTCCTTGTATATACCAATCCAATGTTCGTCACTTGGAACACCAAAACCATACTTGTATTCCTTCCAATATCTGTTGAATCCAATTTTTCCATTCGGCCGTCTTTGAAAAACCTAATATCATGAAAAAAGATAAACAAAAAGTGATCTTTTTCAAAATTAATCGTTGAACAATAAAAATGTATAAAGGGGCATAATTTTAAAATCAAAGTTAACAGAAACCCCTGAAAATTCAAGAGGTGGGATTAAGTGCTTAGGGGGAGTGAGCGTCCCTTACTGACCGATCACAAACGCACTTATCCCTTTGTTGTATTGAAAACGTAGACGGAACATTTTATATTCACATTCAGTTTAATAGAATTACATCAAATATTGATTTTACCGTCCAACCACCACCGGAAGTTGTCATGTCACAATAAACTTGAAATCCACCGGTCCCCTTAGGATAAATTTTGTACAGACCGCTTTTAGTATTATTCGACCAGTGTAAATCTTGGCAATCCTTTGGTAAGAATGGCACTACAAATACATTTATCATTCAAATAGATTTTTCCCTGCAATTCTATATATTATCTGTTATTTCTTTTGTTTAACGACTTTGCGATTTCATTTTTTATTATTTGTATTTTTCTCCTTGAAATTTATGTTCAAGGTCAAGTACAAGTCAAATTAATCAACATTCTTTTAAATCAAACAATCTCAGAATATACTTACAAGATGCCAAAGGTAATATATTTTCCGGAATTATGAAAAGCCATGATAGAATACAGATGGCGAAAACAGAAACTTGCATTTTCTACCAGGAATTCTTTTCCTCACCGAAGAGAGAAAAATGAATTATTTTAATAATCAACACTTACATGTAGACGGCATGTGTTGTGAAGTGTGCTTTTGACAGGTGCCTGAATTTACAGGCGCGCAAAATGTTTGATTTCATCGAGTTTTGAAGTATATTTGAATAGTGCTTTGTCTTGAAATACGGAGTTGACAGACTGCAGCATTGAAATTTTGGATGTTTTTTATTTATAAATACAAAAACAGTAGGACCTGGTCATAAATTTCATCAAGCTTAGTTTTGGGGTTGCAAAACAACAATAAGCATCTTACAACCACAACACCGAATTAATAAAATCTTTTTTTTTAAAAAAATGATTTGTATGTTGAACATAGAGTATTTTGAAATGGAACCTTAAACTTCCTTGATGAGTCAGCTTATAATTTGTACTGTTAAATTAAGAGAAAATTACTGTTCGTGAAATTTACTGGATATTCCGGTGTTCAGAACAGGTTCAAAGAAAAATAGAAGTTAACTGCATGATGTACGACTTTTAAAATAAATTGATATGTCAAGCATTAACAATATTTTTGGAACTTTATTTCAATGATAAAAAATGATGAAAAATTATTTTGATTTATCTCCCCAGATAGCATGACTATGTTGGGCCAACACTGGTAAAAGGTTGTAAGGTTGGCGTTGGGGGAACAACGCTGGGCCAACGTTAGACCCATGTTACCATGTCAACCTTCTCGACCATGACATAAATACTTTGCTGGCCAAACGTTGGTCCAACATAAGCAATTTCCAATAACTTTACTTTCGAAGGAAGGAAGGGTGCTGATGTTGGCCCAACGTTGGCCCAATGTATATAATACAACCTTAAAGAAAGTGTCTTTTCAAATTTGTAGTTGTATATTGGACCAACGTTGGCCCGATGTTTGTAGTACACCCGTAAAGAATGTGTCAAATCAAGTTGGTAGTGGTATGTTGGCCCAACGTTGGCCCAATGTTTGTAATACATCCGTAAAGAATGTGTCAAATCAAGTTGGTAGTAGTATGTTGGCCCAATGTTTGTAATACACCTTTAAAGAAATGTCTTATGAAGTTGCTAAGAGAATGTTGGCCCAACGTTGGCCCGATGTTAGCAAGAGTGTTATTTTGTTCAGGTGTTTCAAAGATGGGATATTTATATTGGGCCAACGTTGGTCCAATTATTATACTGCCAACTAAATGATGGTGTCAATTTTATAATTAGCTGCTGAGCTTTACGTTGGGACAGCGTTGGTTCCAAATATTAAATTAGAAGCACTGAAATAATTAAGAGGATATTTTATGTCCATGCTTTTCATTAGATGACTGCTTTTGTTTAAATATGATATTTTCAACATTTTAACTTTGAACTTAAGTGATCAAAGAACCAAAGAGTGTTTTATTCTATTTTTTGAATAGTGTGCATGGTTATTTATTTTTAATAAAACGATTAAAATTATTAAAATTATGATTTTTTTTATGAGCGGTATATTTGTGAGAATTAAGAGAAGACTGAATAATTGTTAGTTAAAAGTTCTCAGGAACAGGATGTGAATCCCAGATAGCAGAACATCGTTGGTCCAATCTTACATTATGTTTGTATTATCGCTGTTTGGTTACATTTAATGGACCAACAAAGGTCCAAAATGGAATATTGATATATGTAGTTGATTATGTATAATGGGGCCAATGTTGGGCTAACTGTTGGCGTTATATCATAAAACTATTATCATGAGAGAAAATATTTGTTGGGGGATTGACAACGGCCCAAAGTTGGCCCAATATATCATGAATCCGGTTGAGTATCATGGGTAGACAACATCCGGGCTACTTGTAATATCCGCGCCATTTTTAATCTGACACGAGCGTAATGAGACTGATGCCTTGCATATCTGCATCCACTTTGTAAGTATTTATAATATGTTTGCTTCGACACAGCTTAATTAATGTTTATAGTTTAAACGATATCTTGTAGTACAAATCTGTGTAAATAAGTGCAGAGGCCAGGTGCTGTTGAGACAACACTGTCCCAGATAGCATGCTAACATTGGGCCAACGTTGGGCCAATGTTACCGGTTACATCGGGCCAATGTTGGCAAATGACATTGGCCCAATGTAAGTTTGCTTATCGGCCCAATGTTGGCCCGATATGTTGTACCGACGTTTGCCCAATGAAGAATGTTATTTCTACAGATATTGGCCCAACGTTGCGACAACATTGTCCAATTAAATGAATGCGACACTGGGCCAATTTTGGCCCAACGTCAACAATAACATTGGGCCGATGTTGGCAAATGACGTTGACCCAGTGTCATTTTGCTAATTGGCCCAATGTTGGCCTGATATATTGGACCAACATTGGACCAATGTGTATAAATATTTAATTGTTACAAATCTGTATATTAACAAATTCGGTAGTCTCTAAAATCAGAAATAAATCTACCACCAATCCTTCTTGAAAATACAAGTTAGCTAAAATTAATTTACAAGGCTTGTTAAAATTCTTAATATTTATCAAAACAAAATAAATTATCAGTGATTAAATTTATTGTTTCTAACTTTCTATACAAGAAAAATATATGAAAGTATAAAATAACAAATGTGTTTTGATACAGTTAAAAAAATAAATAATTTGCCCCTTATTTAGATTGAAATTTGTGTTTACTTATTTTACTTGTATACACTTAAAGTCGAGCACATATGATCAAACATGTTGAAAATGTTGAACATGTTAAAGTTAAAACAAAATTTATTCAGTACTTAAGGATATATTGGGTTCTTTCATTTAAAATGTGTTCAGTGTACTGACAAAGGAGTATTTATGATAAGAGCCAGTTTTGGCCCCTTCAAAATCAACATTTTAGAATGACCTTCAAATATGTTTAATTGATATTTATTTTGTACAAGAGATTATATTAGAAATATTTCCAATATATTTTTTCACATTTATATGCACATTTATAGCTGTAAATGACAAGAGAAATGATGCTATTTTTGTTATCTAACAAAAAAGCCAAGAATATGCCTTTTTCTTGATGTTTTTTCATATGGGAAACATAGAACGCAGTGTAGAACATACATAATTTTTCTGTCACTCATTAGTATTGGATAGATACATCTTTGGTAAAGATATAAATCTTGTTCTAGGCTGCGCTCTATATTTTCTGGAAGAAAAACTGCTTGAAAATAAGCAGTTTTATTCAAAATATGCTAAAATGGTGGGAAAACGTTATTTATATGATGTCATATTTCTAAAATAACAGCATTTTGATCAGAATGAAAATGACCAATACAGATCGCATATATAGCTGTACAAATTAAAGCTATAAATAAAGTACAGTTAAGATATTCATTTTAAGGGGCCAATTGAGGCACTTACCACATATCACTCTTTTCTATACATGTATTTAACTTTGAATATTGAGTTATATGGCGCAACATTGAATCAAAATCGGTGTAATTGTGATCAAGCGTAGAAATTTTATACATAAATGCCTTCATCACGCAAGCTAATCGCTTAATCACACCATCAAACAAAAAAGACGGTTATTCCTCAATTGACAGCTTAAAAATATAGTGATATACTTATAAATTTAATCGTATGTTTACTCTTTACTGAGAAAAGTAACAAATGTATAAAGTATCAAATACTACAATTTTAGTGCTACTGGAGATTCTAAAAAGACATTGAGAACACAATCAAAGAATGGCTAAAGTATGCCAAGGACAGGGATGGGGGAGGAAGAAACGGACAAAGAAGAAATTTAAAGAAGGGGAGGAGGAGACGCTGGAGAGAGAAGAGGAGACTTAGGAGAGGGATCAGATTGAACGCGGCAGTGTCTAACTTTTTCCTGTTTGGGCTGTGACATACCTATAGTTCTCTCCTTTTCTGTGTCTGTTTGTCATGATGCAGATGTCAGATACATTTTTGTGTAAGTAAACAAATTTGCGGGATTCATTTTAGTATTATTTTAAGAAAAGGAGGTCTTTGTTTATTTTTTAGACGTGCTTATTGATATCTGCAATTCACTAAACTTGTGCCCAAATTTTCATCAGAAAGGGAGTATACAATCATTTAACTATGGAACGCCGTCACTGCCTTATAGCAGAACACTACTATTGCATTGTGTCAACCTTCCATTACATTATGTCAACTCTTTATGACATTAACCCACACTACTATTGCATTGTGTCAACAATCCATTACATTATGTCAACTCTTTATGACTTTAACCTACATTACTATTGCATTGTGTCAACCGTCCATTACATTACGCCAACTCTTTTTGACATTAACCCACACTACTATTACGTCGTGTTAACTTTCCTTTACATCATGTCAACTCTTTATGATATTTACACATACTACAATTATATTTCGTCAGTTTGCATTTCGTTATGTTTACTTTTCATGACATCTTAGTTTTTATTAATCTGATGTAAAAAGCTCATGTCATACTGTGCGCACTCTTCTACATTATGTCGATTCACTATTACGTTATGCGAACACGGGTATCCTCGGCCTTTATATGAGCATAACGTATTTTCCGCGTTCCGCAAGCACTAAAAATGGCGGGAAAGAAAACTGTCGTAGAAGAGATTCTCGGCGATTTGGGAATGACATCTTTAATGAAAACTTTAAGCGACAAATGATTGACAATCTTGAAACGTGCAAAGCCTTAACACTGAATTAAAGTCCCAGGCCGTAACTACCATTTAGGCAAGTGAGGCAGATGCCTCTCTAAAATTCTAGAGCATTGTGAAAATTGAAAAAAAAAAAAGAAAGAGATTTCTTTTTAACTTTAATTAATTATGTGTCTTAGTACTAAAATAATACTTTCCATTTTCAATGTTTCAATTTCTGTTAACCTGTAAATCTTCTTACCAAGTATGTCATTATTGTTTAGAACGCATGCAAAAAATAATAATAATCAAAACTTTAGTTTTAATTTGTTTGTCTGTTTCTTTTTTATTTTAATTTACTTATTTATTATTGTTTTACGCCCATTCCAAGATTTTTTCCCTCTTATTAAGATGCCACCACTTACAGTAGGTGGCTGCAAATTTTAGAGCAATACTCGGCACTCAGGGCCATTGACCAGCGATCTTTTTCTTGCAAGCATATCAATATCATACTGCAACATGGGACCTCGGTTTTTACGGTCTCTTTCGAAGGACAAGTCTCCACATCCCCGCAATGTTGATGCAAACATTCAACGTAAGGATCAATATTCCTCTGGCCCAAACGCTCTAGATAGCCACTATTCAACACGCGAACGACAATTCAAAAAGTAAAAAACATTCAAAGATTGTCTTTAATTTTGGGAAATCCCGTATCCCCAGAGAACCCCCTCAGAAACTCCTATGGACTTGAGACTCGGGTGGCCCCCAGATCCATTGCCTCACTAAAACTTTGAGCCTAGTTACGGCCTTGAAGTCACGTCGAAATTCAATCGTGTTTACTTTAATGTGATAATTAAATAAATCAAATATTATGAGTCGTGTAGCAATCTTTTTTTTATTTTTATTTTGATTTTTTTTTTTAATAAAAGTCTTAAACTTTGTAGGACATTGCATTAGTTTCACATTAAGTTTAGCTGAATTAAGTTGAAAACTTTTTTCTATAAAACTATAAAGCCTGAGAGCTTCGATCTCCGCTTTCCGCCCTTGGTCTCCATCCATCCATCCAAGCCCGAAAATCCTATTTCGGAGAGAGGGGTCCAACTTCGATCAGTCCTATTCTTTTCCAGATATATTACATTACCCTTAGTGGACTATACTTCAAAAAAAAGTGGGGGTGGGGCTGTAGTTTCAATGAACATTACATTTTCTATAGTAAAATTATGTCTGGGAAAGAGGGGGGGGGGTGATATTATGTGCCTGTAATTCGTCCTCATCAATCAGGACCCCCCCCCTTTTTACCAGTCATTAAAACACAGTCGTCAACATTCATTACATACTAGATATGCAGCTTTGAGATAATGTAAATGCATTTTAACATCAGGTAATGAACTTTTGGAATGAACATGATAAAGAGTTAACACAATATAAAGATATTTTTAAATCACATAAGAAAGAGTTGACATAACGTCTATATATATCCACATCACGGAATGGAGATTTGACATAATGTAATAAAGTATTGGTACAATATAAAGATATGTTCACATTATGTTATACACTTTTTACACCACGTAATAAAGCACTGACATAAAGGTAAGGTGTGTTACCTCACATCATGATGCCCTCGCCGTAAAATAAAGATAAATCCATATCACGTAATAATGCTTTGATATAACAGAAATATACACTCTCAAAAAGGAATGGGCTTTTGACTTCATGTAATGATAAGTTTAATTATAAAACACAATTTACTTGACGTAATGCAATTTTGACCTCACATATTAAAGATATGAAATGAAGTAAAGAAACATTCATTTCACGTAATAAAGTTTTAACACAATGTAAACACATTATCACTTCACATAATGAATTTTTTACTTCAAGTTATGAAGTGCTGACATAATGAAAGGATGTATTTACTTCATGTAATGCAGCATTGACATGATGTTAAGATATATTTACATCATCTCATAAAAAATGGACATAACGTAAAGATATGTTCACATCACGTAATGATAAATTGACATAATAAATACATAGTCGTATGCTATAAGGCAGTGATGGCGTTCCATATTTAACCCTACATGTATCGCTTCAAGTGAGCATCAACTTTTTGTTCTTTATTAATGTTTTCTTCATGCTTTGAGCAATAAAATACATGTATTTGTATGTTATAATTTAATTTAATAATATGATTTCTTTTTCCTCAGTTTTTTAATTAATGTAGAGCTACTTACAATGCAATACTTGTTGATGGTAATTCTTTGAGATATTGTGAATATGAATTAAACCATTAATCTAGCATATATAGTATTAAAGGGCTTTTACCATTAAACTGTACTACAAAACTACGATAACCTTATATAGTTTGTTATTACATTTTGAGGACAAATGGCCAGCCAGTGAAGAGCAAATGAGTTGTCCTGATGGAGAGCCAATAAGATACAAACCAACGTTGGTCCAAAAATGGTGTTTGCCTCATATTGAAAAAATAAGTGGCCCAACAATGGCTCAATAATATCCGTTCGTTGGTCCAACAATAAGCCAACAAGTTGGTCTGATTAAGGGCCGATGAGCAAATTACCGTTGGCCCAACATTAATTGCTTACAATGGCCCAACTGTATAAAAATGACGTTTGCCCAACATTGAAAGAATACATTGGCCCAACAGTGGTCCAATATTAACTGTTACATTGGCCCAACAATAAGCCAACAAGTTGGCTTGATTAAGGGCCGATGAGCAAATTACCGTTGGCCCAACATTAATTGCTTAAAATGGCCCAACTGAACAAAAATGACGTTTGCCCAATATTGAAAGAATAAATTGGCCCAACAGTGGCCCAATATTAACTATTACATTGGCCCAACAATAAGCCCACAAGTTGGATTGATTAAGGGCCGATGAGCAAATTACCGATGGCCCAATGTTGAATGCAAACGGTGGCCCAACATAAGGAGCATTGTTGGCCCAACAAAAGTCCAACAGCATCCTGCTATATATCGATCGATATATCACAAAGACAATTTCTTTGAGTTAAATTCGAAAATGTCGTAGTGGAAATGCATCTGGGTCTTTTTTATCATAGTTTGCGTTTTATTATCATTTTTGAAGTAATACGAGTTCCCTGTTGTTATATTATTGTCTTCCAAAAAATGGGGTTGTCAGAAAAAATAAGTTTTTCATGGTTATATACATTGATGTAATTATACAATTGCCTTACTTCAATCCTTTTAAGCATGATTTAAAGTGACAATACGGCACATCTCTGCACAAACAGACTTGTTAAAATTTTCCTATAGGATTTTGAATTTTTTGTCATACTCATAAATGTATACACTTTCAGAAAATTACAAATTTCATTAGTAAATCATTCTGATTATTTCATTAAAATTAATAATTATTTATGGTCCATAAATATATACATCGCAACGTGTTCGAGGTTCCACATGCCTTGCTATCCACGCATGCGTATAGTTTTCATAAACAAAACAGCATGGAAAGAGAAGGAAACCCGGTAGGCCTGCTACATTGATGAAGTCGACCAAAACGAAAAACAAAACAAAAAAATAGGGCTTTAAATTAAAAAGCAACTTTCCTGACAAAATTTTAGTTGGGAGATTAATATAATCATTGGATGAAGAAGAAACGGGATCTCGGCGACATTCACGTGGGGCTCGCGAAGGATCTACCCTTCATGTTTGTTGATACATGCTATCATTTCTCGTATCTCCGTGGCTTTCAATGAAAAAAATCAGTGTAAACTCAACGTAAAAATGCACTTATGACATATGAAAATTTTGCCATTAGAAGTGCAAATTGTATTGGAACTGCAGAAAGATATTTTGTTTGACATTTTGCAGCGATGACGTATGATTTGGTGGATGTTCCTTTCCTGCACCCCAATACACAAAACGTCAACATTTGTACTTAATCTTGTTAAATTCGTCTGAATGCAGACTAATATGTTAACTATTATTAATTTACCGGAGAGTTAAGATATTTTCATTATCAGAATTGCTTTTACTTAATATTCCACTATAATTGTAAACCCTACATTGTATGCACGCACCATTTTAGAATTCACGTGGTACAAGTGTAAACAAAACTAAGTTGTACGACCCTTGATTTTCCGGCAGATTCTAATTACGTTAATTTTGTATGAGGAAAGAATATTTATTTTATTTTTCTCAAATGCTTACTTCAACTTTTTACCTTATTCCTGAATGATATATTGGGTAAATTTAAATGAAAAAGCACACGATTTGCAGCCGTATTGCCGCTTTAAGGACTGTTATAAAATAATTTGCTGAGAATATTTTTCCACTGGTTTATTCAAGGAATGGTTCAGCATTCTATTGCACAAAAATATCAATTAACAAAAAATGTAATAATGAAAAGTTACATCATTCTTCTTAAACCAAGAGTTATTTGTAATATTGATTGACTTTTAAATTTTCAGTTTATTGGAAGAATGCAATTAAGGCATTATTATCCCTCTTTTAAAAGTGTAATTCATAAGTCACACTCCATATTTTATTTAAAAAAAACTAATCAATCAAAATAGTGTTACAATAAACACACATGTATTTACTTACGTTTTCTTTTGTTTATTTTACTTGATATTCCGATAGCAAAAACTGCTGCATATAAACAAATATGTCTTATCACCATAGTTGACTATGTTCAAATGTAAGAATGCAAACTTTGGGTCTTGATAGTTTTTTATGACTGTGTCTAATTGCATTTAATTGATCGACAGCAAGAAATATAATCTTTGTAATTTTTAGGCACCATATTGAACATGCAACGTTAATGATAGTGCAATTTTATCTGCATTACTCAGAACTATATTTGCAATTTTTATTATGGCAAATTTTTTCCTGATTATTAAGTTTTAAAAGTTTTGCCTTTCATTCATATCAAAAACATGATTTTGACAATGTTTCCAATTAAAAAAATTGTTTGTAATCGCATTATTAAATTTCTTTGGTAAACGTATTCATTCCTGCTACATGTAGGCAAAATTGTTTCCAATTATATTAGAAAATAAATCAATCACAAAATTCCTTCAAGGCTTAAAAATTAAGTAGAGCAAAACTCTACCTAAACATCGTGTACCCAAAAAATGTAAATCTTTATTTTACCAAGAAAAAATAATTCAGACATAACTCTGCTTAAATCGCTCCTATATTTTCACACTACTGGTGGTTTTTATTCTATTTAATCCTAACTTCTTTTAGATTGTTGAATTTTGATAGCAGGGAGAGAAAGATGAACGTAAAAATCATGTTTTTGAATTCACAAGATGGCTTTGTCTTCACGATTTCCTCTTTTAAAACAATTAGAATTTAAAATTAAATGAAATTCAAAATAATCACTTTTTGTTTAATCTAATCTCCGTAATTTCTGAAAATTACATGTACCTACCGGCATTTTAGCGTTCCTCACAGCATTACTGTCACAAGACTGTCAGGACATTTTTTGATAAGGAACCACTGACAATGGTGTGTACACTATCTACCCGAGAGGCACGGGTGGATTCAGATTTTTCTGTGATATGAAAACTAGAGGAGGTGGATGGTCAGTAACGTTTAAGAATTATATTGGAAAACTGTTAAAAAAAACACATGTACCTTATTTTAACTGATTATTTTTATTGAATAATATACGTGGAGATAACGAACCGAATTCTTTTTTAAGTGAATTCTACATAAAATATTGAAACGAAAATATCTTTGAAAAGTTCATCAAAACATATTCATGAGATTAATACATTTCATATCACATCCTGTATCAGCGCGAGACACCAATATTAGCCAGAGGGCCGAATTATTTTTATGTTTATTACATAATTTTTAAATTATATATATATATATATATATATATATATATATATATATATATATATATATATATATATATATATATATATATATATATAAAAAAAGGTAAAAAGAAAACATAAAAATCCTTAGTTAAGCTTTAGCGCTTTCATTTTCAATCTTCAGAAGCTTACAATATATATATATATATATATATATAGTAGACATTAGGTTGAGAAGAAAATAAGTAAATAATCAATATGCACCGACTTCTCAGATGTACACGATATATGGTCTCATACATATACGAGTATGTGTATGATCACATTTACTGCTTTTTAGGTTTAAACTAGGGGTGTGATATTGATCCGCATCAGCCCTGCAAATCCACATCAGCCCATGCAAAATCCATATCAGCCTTGCAGAGCTTGCTATTGTGACATCAGGCATATCGCTTATGCTGAAATCCTGTATTTATACTAAGTATACTGTAATAAATGAATATATCGACTTCACAGAAAAGCATATCAACCAAGCATCAAGTGCGAGGTCGATATGTTTTTTGCTGTGAAATTGATAAATCTATGGATTGACCTCATAAAAGTGCTACATTTGTAATGTTTTTTTTTATTTTTAAAATTAACAACCAATTTTTAAAGCAATATGAGCTGCATTTTTGACATCAGAAAATTTTATTGAAATTTGTAATTTACTGATTCAATGACAGAAAAATAAATCATTTATAAACTTCTGTTGTTCATATTTGCGATGGAAATTTTTTATTAGCTTTGATTGAAACAAAATTGAATTATTGTCATCCTGTACTATAATGATTTCTTATATAAACTGTATATTCGGTTGTACAGAAATATTTCTTCTGCAACATTTTTAAACTTTATTTTGGGCTTATTGGTCATAAGGGTTTAAATTACATACAAAAGAATCATAATAGCACATTTTACTAGCAAAATAAAATTATCAAAGATACAACTCATATTGCTTTAAATATTATAAACAAGTCACAAGTTTTCTCGTTCGTCTTTCGTAAACACATACTAAGTTAAAAAAAATAAGTTGTTTATTCTTATTATGTTTCCATTTTACAAACAGAGCAGTTTAGGGAATGGAATAATTACAAATACTTATGAAAAAATTCTAATATATATAATATTATAAACGCCGCTGTCATCTGGTGCTTAGTTGCTCAAAAACGTCACATTTACAAAATGTTTAGGTGCTTACATCGTCCCAGTAATTTCGTGGATATGTTCTAATTACGTCTCAGTCACCAAAATGTTAGGTCCTCTGTTACAACGCACTTTGAAAAAAATACGCTCTTTGAAAAAAAAACCCATTTCAAAGTGCCTTAAATTTTGAACCGAACCAATGCACTTTGAAAAAATAAAATTTATTTTCAAAGTGTGTTAATATCGACCATATTAACACACTTTGAAAAAGAAAAATGTGTATGGCTTGGACAATATTCTTGATAATCTTAGGTAAGATAAATAATTGAACCTCTTGATAAATTTTCGGTTATAAAGTCACACCAGGATGTGAAAGTGAGCGATTTTGATTTCTCTCTTAAATGTTTTACTGTACTTACCAAGATCTAGGTTTAGAATTTTTGATTTATACTTATTTTTTCAAAGTACGTTAACTGTCCTCATAGTAAAATTGTTGTCAGTAACCTAATGTTAGGTGCTCACTTCGTTACAATAACCTACATGTTGTGGTTAGGTGCTCACTGCGTCGCAGTAACATACATGTAATGGTTAGGAGGTACTAACCCCGTGGTCATATGGCCACTATTCCTAGTAACATAGTGAATTTTTTTTACATCGCAGAAACCTAGTAGTTAGGTCCTTACGTCGCAATAACGTAGTGGTCAAATGCTTATTACGTCTTAGTAGCCTTTTGATTAGGCGCTCCTTTTGTGATCCTGAGTCCGGGCTCGGCCCAAGCGAACACCCTTTTTATTCATGGACTAGTTAGCATGAGACTACATGGTGCTGATGTCATTTCAACCCTTTCAATGTACTGAACAGTCATGAAATCAGACGAAGATTATTTTTAAATCTTAAGTAAATTTGAGAGGTTTAGATGGTGTTTTGAATACCTTTGAGCTGAAAGCTGAAGAAAACTACAGAATTTTGATAAAAGGTTGAGAATTTATCATAATGTTACATATTATAAGATGATAATTTGATGAGGAAAAGTGTTGGATTCTTCTGGAATTTCATTTGCACAATACTTGGAGTAGTGCTTAAATTGGTAAAAAGATTGGTGGTGTTCTGAAAAACTAGCTCTAAAAACATTTAATTTCAAGATCTGCTGTAAAAACGGTGTCGAAAAATAGATGAACTGTCAATTCAGATGTTTTGGGAAGAACGCCGGAAAAGTATGAAACAGAGATCAACCTCGAACAATCTAAAGAGATTTATTGAATATAAGAATAAAAAAATTTATGTGAACAACGGGTAACAAAAACTGTATAATTTTTAGTATACATTTGTCAAAAAAGGCGTTTGAACCTTCAAGTAATAAAATATCAATATATTTACCACTGATTATTTTTACTACTGATGAAAAAAATAAAAGATATTTTCTCAATATATGAAGAAATTCTTTATAAATGAATCTTATAACACATTTAATAAAGATTATTAAAATAATAATTAAATTAGAGAGTTACTGTCCATCCGCCTCCTTTGGTCTTCATATCACAGAAAACTCTGAATCCGCCCGTGCCTCTCGGGTAGATAGTGTACACACCATTGTCAGTGGTTCCTGACCATAGAATATCCTGACAGTCTTGTGACAGAAATGCTGAGAAGAATGCTAAAAATACGTAATTTGTATACTTCAAGGAGGCAACATTTAAATCAAAGTGATTATTTTAAGTTCCATCTAAATATTCAATAAAAACTTAAGGTGTTTTCAGAAAAAATTACACAGCTTTTCGAGGTTATATAAATTGATATAATATAATTGCCTTACTTGAATTCTTTGTTTCAAGCATCAATGTACGATGGCCGACAGCGGCCGCCACTTTTGAATAAGAATATTGTCATATTGTACAGAGCTTTTGTCAATTTTTGTTGACAAGTTACAACTCAACTAGTAATGCATTATGCACATGTACAATTCTTATACTGTCAAAGCTCACCAGCGAAAAACATTAAAATTCTTTCGTGAAACATGAATTAAAACAGGTGACCTGAAAGAGATATGGTTTTATCAGTCCTTCGATAATATAGCGAATGAAGTGAATTTAACACTTAATTAGTCTGAAGGCTAGATTCTGTTCACGTCCACAGTGCAACTTTTATTTAAAATAAAATCAACCCGATGAAAACAGATATGAAATGAAGTACGATGTGTTTGTGAAACACTGATGCTGCTATATGGCAGTTAAGGATCAAGGCTCAAGTTTTTTTTTTTAAATGTACGTCAAAGTCCAAGGTCAAAAGGTTAAAATGATTGGTACCCAAAGAAAGGTTTTGTCTCAAGAAATACACGTGAGACATGAAAATTCTTAGCTCCAACCGTTCAAAAGTTATATATATATGCATAGTTATAGTTTTTGCGGACAAATAGACAGACAAACCAAAAACTTTATGCTCCGAATTTTTTGATAATTGGGGCATATAAAATAAAAATTTCAAATGAAAAGAGGAATAAAATCTTTAGATTAGAGTATATTTTTGTTGCTAGATAGACAAAGGGTAAGTAAACACATGATATTTTAACTAAGGCCAAATCTGACATGCATGTATGCTTAGTTAAACCCAAAATGGTTGTTTACACATTTCAAAGTCGACTTCCGAAGGAAGCACTAGCCTATTGATGCGTCGAGGATTAATTGGGAAATAGGATCTCTACACTAATTAAGAGGGAACTTTAATAAAATACACGTTCTGATATACTATCTTTAACAAGTCACCTGTTTAATGTATCTTAATTTCATATCACACCAAAGAATTTTAATGTTTTTTGCTGGTGGAAATTGTCAGTGTTAGAATAGTACATGTACTTAATGCATTACTAGTTGAGTTGTAACTTGTCAACAAAAATTGACAAAAACTCTGTACAATATGACAATATTCTTACTCAAAAGTGGCGGCCGCTGTCGGCCATCGTATCAATGGGCTATTATGACGAAATTTCACGGAAAATATTATTCATTGATATTAAAAAGAGAAAGATTCATTCATCTTCCTAATGCAAAAATGTGTTGATTAATGAAATGTTCAAACATTCTTCTAAAACCAAGAGTGATTTTCAGAGAGACTTATAATTGAGTGACTTTTTAAAAAGTTAAAAATTGAAATTATCCGTCTTATTAAGGTATAATTCTTAATTTACTTTTAATTTACCAAAGGATGACTGTACTTAAGGAAACTTAAGAATTGCGACATAATAAATTTTAAAAATGGGCATTTTTCTTTTAATGGGAGAAATGGCCAATGTCTTAACTGCAACTTTGTGTAATTACCTTTATTAAAAGTTCGTATTAACGAATTTTATTAATATATTATATTAATAACGTTTTTATTGGGAGGGGTCATCGCATATTCTGGAATCTCCATAGGATAATGAGTACGCCCACCTTTTTACAGGCTTAATACATAGTCAGCGCATGTTTGTCTATTGTTATCCTTTTTATGGTAGTTGTGTATATATATATATATATATATATATATATATATATATATATATATATATATATATATATATATATATATATATATATATATATATATTTACCTTATATTAAAAGGAGATCAATAGACAAACATGCGCTCATGGTTAAAAAGAGGAAAAACTGTTTCTACGTGTGTTCACTTTCTCTATAGTAAACAGGCCATTTTGACAACGTTGTTACTTGTTGAATATTATAATTAACCACGTGGTTTCTATACCCAGGTAACTCTGTGAATACTAAAATTCCATCACGTGACGTGTACGGAAACACGCATTCTGCTGGGCGGTAGTGTTTGTCCATATCTGTTTCAATCCATTCCCATCGAGCCACGGGTTATTCTTTTTTCTCTTAGATATCTATAAGATTATGCTTATATTTATCTCAAAAGCGTTTAATTTTACTACATTTATATATTATCGAGTGTATTATATGTCTCTACATGTTCGTAGTCTTCAAGAAAAAAGAGATTTATTTATTATGTTTTGAACCATCGCTTGTCATGAACATCCAAAGTAAGATCCAGTAAATAAAAATAAAATCATACCATCCCCAGCACGCTCATTCATGGGGATAAGAAATTAAGAAAAACTTCAGTAATTTTGACGTTTTTCTTTCTTTTTTTTTTTAAAAAAAAAAGTAAACCAAGTCGTTAGCAGGTCTCGATCCCAGGCCTGCATATTATCGATTATGTGCATTACCGACTGAGCTAGTCGGCACTTATATTCGAACACGCGAATTGTTGACGTCAGCCATTGCTGTTGATTATCAATGGCTACTTCTACCGGTCGATATTATTTGTTATTACTATTAGTTATATACTTTATTTGAAAACTTAAAAAATAATAGTGACAAACATATGCCGAGAGAGAGAGAGAGAGAGAGAGAGAGAGAGAGAGAGAGAGAGAGAGGGAGAGAGAGAGAATGCACCAAATATAAATACAGAATAACTATTTTAATTTTAGACCACTCTTCACAATATTAGCTCCGCCTCTTATGCATATTTATAAATCTTATCTCCAATCAAGGGCAGATAAGTCTAATTTCACGATATTTGCAGAGAGGTGGGGTAAGAAAACAACATATTATTTTATTGCAACGCAGTTTATAAGCTTTATGACATTGCCTTTCATATGGAAATAGAACAAATTCTATCACAAATGACTTAAGGCAAAAATAAAAACAAAAATAAATGTGACAACAGAGATTGAAAAAGACCCCAAAACCGGCGTTAAGTGCAGTCATCCTTTTCTTAGAAATAAATCTAGTTAATCAAAATGGTGTTACAATTATCATATTTACTTAGTTTTCTTTGGTCTATTTTACTTGATATAAATGAGAGCAAAAACTGCTGCAAAGAAACAAAAATATCTAATCACCATAGTTGATAATGTGAGACAGCAATCTTTGAGTGTTGAAATGTTTTAGGATTTTGTACTTTATTTGTCAACAGCAAGAAATATAATTCTTGAATGTAACTTTCAAATGCACCATGTTGTGTATGCAACAGAAATGATAATGCAATTCTATCTAGATTAATTTAAAGAGAGATTTTTATCAGGATGGTATATGTAACATTTTATCCGGATGCATAAAATTATTAGTTGTTAGCTATCTTCAAAAATCTAGAACTTTCAGGATGTGTCAGTATTAAAATGTTTCATATTACAGAAGTTACTTTTTAAACGTGTACGTATACGTTGTAGCACATGTAGGAGATAATCTAAATTTGTCACCAATTTTAGTTTAAGGTTAAGATTTCAATTTTCATATAATTGCTCAAGTAGATTTTTAAGTTGGTAAAAGCAGTGCTTCTTGCTAGGAAATCGTTTCAAACATTTGAGAATACATGTAGTACAAAAATCATTTAAACGTAATGTTTCCCTATCTTCATTTCTTAAAAGGTTAGAGTTCGGTAATATAAAGTACTCGCAAAAATGTCTTATTTTTCAGATTAATGTACATTTAATCATAGTATTTTCAAGAGAATTTTGATAAGTATGCATCTCATCAAATTGATTCTTTTTTTTTGTTTTTCATTACAATCCACGTTAAGCAAAGCTTTTGCTTATTATACAACATTTTCTAGCTGATTGGTTGATGAGAGAATTAAATCAAAGAAATACATGTACAGAAATACAAAAAACGTACTAGTAATTATGGCTGTAAAAAGACTTAAATTTAGTCTTTATTTAAATAGAATTTAAATCTACAGTATCTGGCTTACTTGTATATACATGTGCTGAAAGGAAAAATGTATCTACTGAAATTAAATGTTAACATCAACGACTAAACGTATATTTTGTATCTATACCAGGTAAAGCAGAGATGTCTTGTTAATAGGCTATAAAATGCAATTTGATTGGCACGTTTACTGTGTAATACCAGTAAATACCTAATTACCCGTTGGCAGGTGCAAATTGTTAAATTTCAACTAATCAGAATCCACGAAGATGTCCAAAGAACACAGTTGATGGAAAATACTTCTTCCACCAGTTATCTTACTGGACAGATCATTATCAAAACTTTGGGAAATCTGAACCGCAAATTTCATTTTAATGACTCAGAAGTCTTCGGAGTAGAATGTAATCTATATGGACTAATTTTTGTGAATCCAAAGAAGCACTTTATAAAAGAATCAGTTCATACCTAGATTTCCAATTAATTATGGGGATCGACCAGCTGCTTTTATACAAACATTTTAATTTACCTAATCATTATTCAAACAATGAAAGTTAAAATTCTTTAAAAGATGTATCACCATACAAATAGTCCATCACTGAGTACACATATCCAAAGACAACAAGAAGAATTTTGGATAAGAAAATTTGGGACAGCCTTTTTCTATGGATGGAATGACAAAGTCAATATTGTTGGAAGTCTTTCCATGGAGTCCACAGTGTGACAATGTAATTGTATTCTAGAAGAAATTTGATTAAATTCTACAAGTGGTAATTCAACTTATACTCATAGTTCCTCTCTGAGGAAGAAATCCCTCCAAATCATATGTCAGTTTTCAATATTTTTAATATCCAAAAGACACAAAATAAATTTGAAATACCATATCTATATTGGATTCCAAAATTTCATACAGATCATTACAAACAAAGATACATTGCGGGTTCCAGTAAATGTTCAACCAAACCTTTACTCCTCATTAGGAAGTGAAGGAGAAACTTCAAGAGTACTGTGAAACAATATATTCAAGAAGTGGTGTAAATCATATGTGGATACGTAAAAATTCCAAGGAACTTTTGGACAATTTGAAGTCACATGAAGTTAACAAAATCAACAGCTTAATAGCTTCTTACTTTTTAACTTTACACATATCAAGTCCAAACTTTTTGATGTCGTTAAAAAAATATTGTGCACATAAATACTCTAAAATTGACATCAAAAAGATGCTTGAGTTTCTGATTAAAAATATTTATGTGGTTTTTGGCGACCAAGTCTTTCAACAATCTATTGGAACTAATTGCACACCGTTTTAGTTGACCTATTTTTTATTCATATGAAGCACAAATTGTGCAAAATCTTATGGCTGAAAAGAAGAAAATCCATGCTGTGACCTTCCCCTTAGACTTCATTAAATGTAAGCAAGTAAGTCAGCATGAACTTTTTAATGACTTAATGAATATACATGTATCAATGAATTATATATTATAAAACAATTATTGCTGAATTTTCAGTCAATATGATATTTTGAAACGAGGTAAATTATTGACGAGCAAGTTCCTGAAACAAGAATATCAGCCGTTTCGTTTAAAGTCATCATTTGATAAATTCTATGGTCGATACAATGACCTTGTCAGCAAATACGATTTATCATTGAGTCAAAAACTAACTGACATTTTTCATACTAATTGTTAGTGCAATATTTATACACGGAATTGACGACGGATTTCCGTTATTTCCTGATCATGACAAGGAGCACAAGGCGGGTAGGACCGGTCAGCAGGGGATGCTTACTCCTGCATGGCACCAGATTCAACCTCTGATGTTTCAGATGTTTGCTCTGTTCTTATTTTGTATTTTTTTATGGACTTTGAGATTAAATGCTATTCGTTATCTCCATATCCTCTTTCGCCATTTGCAGAGTATAATTTTATCCGAGCTATTCGGTCTCGGTGAATATTGAACTTCTCAGATGGCTAAATCATCGTATTTATCTCAAAAACCACAGTAGTGGTATATTATTTATGATGTATACAAAAAAACTTGATAAAAACGAGATTACAAAAAGCTATCAGATGAAATTGTCGCAGATGCTTAAAGCGAACATTTTACAACAAAATTAAAGGAACTTTGACACAGATTTGAGTTATTATTTTCTCTATAATATTACAAGTTACATATTTTAATAGCAATTCATACAAAAACTAATTAAAAATCTTATTAAAAGTTCAAATTTTTTTGGCGGGTTTGATTGAGACATCCTTGCACTTTCACATATTTTAACTTTATTCTTAATCTGTGTCAAGATCTGTGTCCAAGTACCTTTAAAATTTGTTTATTTTTTCCTTTAAACAGCTGTCTTTTTTTCAAATACGCAGCAAAATAACCCTTTTTATCTGAATAACCTCTAATGGTTTGAAAAACTGCTTCTTTGAAACAATTATTTATATAAGGTATAACATGAACATAAAAATCATATTTTTTTTCAAAACTGTCACTCCAATAAATATTTTGAAATAACAAGTACTTTTCAAAAACTCTATGGGGTTAAAATTATAATGCCTCCGAAATGCAGTAGCAGAAACCTTAATTCCAAGATACTCTTTAATATTGTGTGCTTTGGTTTTGGTTAAATTCCAAGCTTTCTTTTCTTCACGACCGCAAATGTTCTTTGTATGAAGAAATTTTTAAAAGAGGTACATGTAAGGTATTGATGATCAAGTTGATGAAACAAGAATATCAGCCTTTTCGTTGTATGTCAACATTTCTTGAGTTTAATGGCCAATATAGTGACCCTTTCAGCTAACACAATACAATCTAACATTAGTTCAAATGCTAACTGGCGTTTTTTCATACATATTGTTTAACATAATTTACACACTTAGCTGTAAACAGATTTTTTGCTATTCCCCGATCATGACAAGAAGCACACAACATCTGTGAACGGTTTGCAGTGGATTCTCGCCTATCTATGGCACCTGGTCCCATCCCTGACCTTTTCTAGCTCTGTTCCATATTACATGTATTACCAAACTGTTTGCCTGAATGTGTTAGGCCAAGGCAGACAGGTAGGTTCTCAGATCGACAAAACGCATTTTTCCCGAGAATTAAATTTTGCTTGTTTTTCTGTGACCTCAAGGGGTTATTTTTAGAATCAGATCAGATGCTAAGAGATGTACTGCTCTGTTAGATTATGTTAGAATGAGCTTCTTTTTTTGTAGTATTTGTTAAGTCAAACATAGTTTGATGACATTATCATTAAGAACTAAAAAAAATTATTCATATGACCACAAAAGAATAACTTTAAAAAAATAAGAGCGGGAAAAAAGAATGTGATATAATAAAAACGTTTGATGATGAGACAATGACATGGATAGGAACAATCCTACCCTGGTGTCGGATTAAATCTTCGGTTGATTGGACAAAATGTCATTTCGATTTCAAAAATTGGGTCGGTTCATAGTTTGACACCAAAATTGAATTTGATTTTTTCTTTCATAGAGGATTATCAATTCCTTGTCTTATTCATGAGAGCAAAACCACTCATGATAATTTTTTTTCTAACTAATAGATAATTGTTGATTATCTACTATCATCTGTAGAAAAGAAAAAAGTTAATTTCATTTTAAAATGAGTAAAATAAAATCAAATCAAAAAAGTTTTTTTTTCATTATCACTGTATTATTTTAAAATTCTCTATATATCGTTTCCTAAAATTTAACATTTTAATTATTTTGAGTAAGTACTGAACTATAGGCATATAAAATACTTTTACGTGCATTCAATAACTATGAATACATTTTTAAAAAATATTTTACACTTTTAAAGAGGAAAACTTTCCAGTTATGCGTCTTTCATATTAGGTGGCAAAAAATTAAAATTGATTTTGCATTATCAATTTGTAAACGCATCTGTTGTACGTGTGCCATATTTCGTTCCAAATTAGTTTAATATTTTATGCACCAATATAAATAGAGGAGACGAAATGAAAAATCAAATATTGTGATGAACCTCTCATTGAAGGTGAAAACTATCTTTTTTTTTTAATGTGTATTATAATTTTAAAATTCATTTTTCATCTTTAGTTATTTTTGGTTATGATATTTTTATGTCACATGCGGTTTATTTTCAGATTGCGAAGGAGATGAGAAACTTTATAATAATTGGTTCCATTCTGGCCTTCCATATAGTTTCTGGAAATATGACCTTCTTAAAATATTTGAAAACTCAGGCGAGCAACATGGAGAAAGGCCTCGACCTTGTTATCAAAGAAGGACTTCCTTCAAATGGTAAACAATTTAAAAAAAAAACCTTTTAAGAATATGCAACATAACTTATTGTTTGTCATGTATGAATATGTATAAGATGGAGGGCTCAGGAGGTTAAAAATGGTTAATAACATTATCGGTGGAAATACATATTAATGGAATATACATGGAAGTATGCTATGTTACAACGCACTTTGAAAAATTACGCACTTTGAAAATTTTTTTCAAAGTGCGTTAAATTTTGGGACCAAGTCAACGCACTTTGAAAAAATAAAATTTCTTTTCAAAGTGCGTTAATATGGACCATATTAACGCACTTTGAAAAACTGTGTATGGATTTGTCAATATTCCTGCAAATCTTAGGTATGATAAATAATTGAACCTGTTTGATAATTCTTCTGTGAAGAGGTTACTTCAGGATGTGAAAGTGAGCGATTTAGTTTTTTTCCATACTTTGAAAATTCTTTCTCGCTTACATGCTTTACTGTACTTAATTTTTTTCAAGTTTCCATGCATTTTATGTAAACTTAAATTTATTGAAAGTTTTCAACGTCATACCAGTTATGTAAACACATATATTTGAGTGTAGCATAGGCATCAGTACCGGAAAGGGGGGTTACATGTAGACATATAAATATTTTGCAAAGATATACATAATATATACATGTATGCATTAAAAACTGGGGCTTAGCTGTGGGGTCAACTTTCAATTTGCTACCGACGGCTCTGTACAATGTTTAAGAAAGAAAGAGTTTGGATGAGAGACCTTCTACTCGTCTTCTCCTTGTTCTCAATGAGGTTAAATGAGTTCATGTAAATTTTAAAAAGTTTTTCGAAAGATATAATTATTACAATTTGATTTCCTCTATTACTAAAATCTAAGTCTAGAATTTTTATTTTCATACAAATCTTTTTTTTTAAAGTGCGTTAAATGCCTCCATGGTAAAAAATGTTTATGTGCATTCTTAACGCACTTTGAAAAAAATTTTCAAAGTGCGTTAAGTGTGTCCAAAATTTAACGCACTTTGAAAATTTTTTCAAAGTGCGTAATTTTATCAAAGTGCGTTGCCACAATGCTATATTGGAATGTTCGGATTCGAACATTGTCAATTATGGATAAACAATATTAGGATAGGATTTTTTAAATAAATAGTTTGATAATTATATTTTTTCTCTTCAAATGAGTGCGGATTTAAACTGTTATCCGTATATATGCAAAATTTTATCAGAAAAGTTTATATTTTAAATATTTATCATAATTATTTGAAATTAAAATGCTAGTGTATATGAGGCTTGATATAAATTTTTTTTTCTAAAATTAACGAAAATTAAAATATCTTTAACTTTGCCACACTGTATTATATATTATATCGATAACAATATAAACGAGAAAAACATGAATTAGGAATTATACCGTCAATCAATTTCAATTTTCAGATCTTAATGTCGATGTATATATAACAAAGATAAAGAATAAAGTTTCACACTTTTTGTTAACTAATAAAAAGGCAATTACATTTGCGATATTTTCCTAATCAATGATATGGTTATAACTGATTAACTACAGCCTTGCATTCTAGTAAAGAAATCGTATTAACATTCAAATCATTAGTTATGGGGAAAAGAAATTATGTAATTTTTAATTTTTATTGAAAACAAATACTTGGAAACATTATTTTACTTAACAATAAGTGTATTTTCCATTCATTTTTACAGACATTGTTGCGTTTTCGGCTTATCAATCGGCTGCTAAAAGTTACAAAGAACACGAAACATGGATATATGATACGGTCCTCGTCAACGACGGGAGTTCATATGAGAGGACAACAGGCATCTTTACTGCACCTTCTGACGGGACATATGGGTTTACCTGGTCAACCTTAACCGATCCAAATAAAATGGCTCATCCTCTCCTGAGGGTTAATGGTCAATATAAAGGATATGCAGCATTCAATAATTCCATCACTTCACAGAAATTTTGGAGTAGCGGCTCTAATACGGTTCTAGTTCGACTGAAGAAAGGTGACAAAGTCAGCATTGCTTCCGGATATGGAGCTGCATATGCAAGAAAGAAATTTACCTCATTTTCTGGATGGAAGATGCACTAATTGTTTTGTTTTAATCGACTTATCCAGCTGAAATTAAATTCTAAATGTGAAAAAAAAACATTGTTGTTATCTTTAACGCATCCTTATTAAATGCTCAATTAAGATTTAAGTTAAGGGAAGATGCATTGATTACAAAAAATACTGGTTCAGTGACTGCTTAATTGCCGTTTGTCCAATACGTATAGTGTACGTTTAGTAAGAAAGAGGACCTTTTAAAAAGATAGGTCATTTTTTTTGTAAGAAAACCTGGGTCATGGGTAGACATACATTCGATATTTAGAATGTTTAAAGAGAACTTATGGTAAAATAAAAGTAATCGTTTCCACAACTTCCTTGCTAGCTTTTAAATGCTGAAAAATACTAGTATGTACGTATATATTTTCAACAAAGCATTTATCTACTACCACATTGGGTCCAAATAATTATCAAATGGTGAAAAATAATTATTATATAAATAATGGTAATTTTTTTCTTGTGACTGTAAATTCCTAATGATAAGAGTCCCAAGTTATGGCATCTAAATCGATATTTAAATATATCGGATGATGTTTTATTAATTAACAATATTCTTTTGACATCAATATTTATATCTTTAAGTTGATTGGATGTATCCCCTTAAACTCGAGATAAGATGTGATAAACAAGATTTCAGCATCCATACTGTCAATTCTTTTAATTAATAATAGAATAAGAGCATTTTCTATATTAGAGAAGTATGAAAGTAGGCCAAAGTTAAAGTTTTTTTTATAAGTACAGTAATTTTCAAGGTCAAAAGAGCAGGGTAATGGTATTCCATGAAAGTTCTTGCCACAAAAAATACATGTGAAGCCCTAGCCCTAACCCTTCAAAAGTTATGGCCAAGGTTAAAAAATTTAAAAAGTAGGTCAAACTCCAAGGTCAGAGTCAAAGGTCTTGCTTTCAAATGAAAGGTCTTGTTACAAGGATTAAATATGTAAAGTATGAAAGCACTATCCCTATATCCCTTTAAAAGTTATGGTCAAGGTTTCATCTTTGAAAGAAGGTCAACCTGTTTGGTTTTGGTCTTTATATTATACTATATAATCTTTCTAAAAATGGTCTTTGTACAGAAATGTTGAAAACTGCATTTAGCTGCAATACGGCTAACTAAATATCATGTTTTGTGAAGAAAATGCATTTAAAAACTTTCGTTAATACTGCTTACTATCCAGCTTCTTTACACTTTTGTTTGTACGTTGATTTCCACAGTTAATATATATATACTCGCCGTGTTTTTTTAAAACAACCATCATGTGCCCACAATTATGGAACGCCATCACTGCCTTATAGCATAAAACTATGCATTCATTATGTCAATCTATCATTACGTGATGTGAACATATCTTTACGTTATGTCAATTTTTTTATGGGGTGTTGTAAAAATATCTTTACATCATGTCAATGCTGCATTACATGAAGTGAACACATTCTTCCATTATGTCAGCACTTTATAACTTGAAGTCCAAAGTTCATTATGTGAAGTGAAAATATGTTTACATTGTGTTAAAACTTTATTACGTGAAATGAATGTATCTTTATATTATTTCATTTCTTTAATATGCAAGGTCAAAATTGCACTTCGTCAAGTTAATTTCGTTTTACATGTTTTCTATGATTAAATTTATCATTATGTTAAGTCAGAGTTCATTCCCTTTTGTGATTGTATATTTCTATAATAACAAAGCATTATTACGTGATGTAAATGTATCTTTATTTTACGCCAAGGTCATTACAATGTTAGGTGAAAACATCTTACCTTTATGTCAGTGCTTTTTTACGTGATGTACAAAGGTTTATAACATAATGTGAACATATATTATGGAGACAGTCCCGGCGTTCCATATTATATCAACACTTTATTACATTAGGTCAAAACTCCATTCCGTGATGTGGATATATAATTACGTTATGTCAAATCTTTCTTATATGATTTAAGAATATCTTTATATTGTGTTAACTCTTTATCATGTTGATTCAAATGTTCATTACGTGCTGTAAATTACATTTACATTATGTCAAAGCTGATAACCGTGTTTTCACGACGGGGAAGGGGGGGTGTACTGATTAATTAGGACGAATTAGAGACACATTATATAAGGGGGGGGGGTCTGGCTTCCTCTTTTTTTCCGACATAACTTTATTATAGAAAATGTTCATTGAAGGGGTTTTAAATTACGCCCCACTTTTTGCTGAAGTATACGGGAATTTTTTTCAGGACTGATCGAAGTTGGACCCCCCCCCCTTTTCACCCAAATAGGATTTTTGAGTTTGGACGTTATTAAGCGGTTAGCTTCGCTAACCGCTTTATGGCATGTGTCCGATTTTTATCGACACCGGAAACTTCCATAAGGCGCTACCTATCGGCAACGGAAACTTCAACAAAGTCTCTACCTAGTACCTATGATTTGTTTCTAACACATATAACATATGTTAAATAAAATCAAGACTATCAAAACAACATAATCTTTCGGTTTTTTTTATTTTTTTCTGATTTTGTTTGTCAATGAAATAAATTTATTAAATTTATAATTGTTGAATTAAAAAAAGTTCATGTATAGGAGCATTTGGTGTCGAGATTAAATTTCCGTGACATCAGCTGATGGCGATCGGGCCCTGTGACGAAATTCGAAGTCAGCAAGAAGTTTAGCTGATAACATTATCAACGCGTTAGATTTAAACTTTTGGAAGAAATGTATAGCGAGAAATATGATATTTGAACCCAATGCTACACGAAAACCAGTAGGTATTTCCGATTTATGTGTTGAATTGAAGCCTGAATCGAACAGGTGGTCAAAATGGCGTTGGACACCTTGTGTATTTATATATAGAGGGGTAGAATGTTTCGATATTTGGCTAATTTAGAGACTTACTGATAAAAAATTCAGGTGCCTGTGATTAATTATAAGGCACCCCTCATGAACAATAAATATTTGACCGAATTATGCTACTGGGCACAGGGAGGACGGGTTAATTACTGGCTAAAGGGGTTGAAGGTTATTACCGACTGCAAAACATCGGAGAATCTCTCGATCGAAATTCATTTTCCAAAATATTAAGGCATCCCTTTAATTAACTTAAGTAATACTAGTACACGAAGAAAGCCTTTCTATAAAAATACTGAATACATCTGTAAGTTGTACAGTTATGCATTACTTCCATAATGAAACGTTTGTTTTCTCAATTGAAGTTATTTAAAAGATGATAAAAGAATTGTTTCCAGGGATAAATTCTGTACTCAGTCTAATTATTACAAACGATTTTAAACGATCACATTTTTATTAAAAAAAAAAAAAATAATGGGAGCCTGAACATACTAAAATTAATTTTAAAAAATTGGAGAAAAAAATTTAATCGGCAATCGATCCTTTTCTAAAAATCAGCCGATATAAAATATGCACAGAAAAAAGAGGCATGAAAAATCTTGACGATAAGCACAAATTGAAAATTATATCTATATATAATGAATGATTGTTTTTGAAAGTTTGCTAAATTCCTATGCAAGGTATAAGTTGTAAAAATATTTTTTAAATTTGAATTTGTCCAATTTGTTAATTATCATTTCGAGCTCTTGAGAAGAAATAAAAATTAAAATACAGATGCTTACAGACATATTGATAGAAATTCGCATACTTGTTTTTAATAAAAAAACAAAAACAAAACAAAACAATGTATTGCTTATGCGACATATTGAAGAAAGTGACAATGATACCTAGGTAATTCTTGCAATGGACAATTAAATTGTTTGTTATACACTGACTTTTAGTGAACCTTTGAATTTTTAAAATACTATTTTTGTTGGTTTAAACAACAACTTTCCTTTTCACACGTTTTTTTTTTTTTTTTTTTTTTTTTTTGTTTTTTTTTTTGTTTTTTTTTTTTTTTACAATATTTCATGAAAAATATTTGCAAAATACTCAGTATATGTTCGTTTATACATATCGTGCAAGACTCTTTTTTAAATAATTGTCATATACCATTTACTTATTCGAACATTTAATTCTATGAAAAGTCAATAATGTACATTTCTTAAAACTTTATTATCTTGTTTACTTGTCTTTCTTCCTGTGAGAGAAATAGTTCATAATATTAATAAACAGATGTACTCAGTATCTGTATCAAAATACAGAATGAACAGTGATCGGTCTCAAAAGAAAAACGGATCCTTGAAAGTTCAGCTGCCTAGGAGAAGTAAGCATCCCCAATGACAGGTCACACCTGCTGACCCGCAGTGAGCCTACGAAACTGAAGCTCTCTGAAATTAATTAATTCTCTGCTCGTCAATCCGCTTTTCACAGACTAGCCAGCTAAAGATCTATGTACAGTACTCCATATCAATTAATCTAAAGAATTTTAATTATCATTTTATTTTCTTTTTGAGTTGTTTGCTATAGTAGCCTTTACAGTTACTAATTTCAGAATCAATAGAGCATGAAAGACAATTAAATTTGCAACATCAATATAATTTTTTTTTTCGTTCTGAGCACTTTTGGACGCCACCAATGGAGACAATTAGGGAGAAATTTTTGAAATTGAACTTCCTGTCTTTCAAAAAATCTCAGGTTGATATTTTGAAACAAACATTTGTGACATCAGTCTGGGATGTTATTGGTTATACCATTTAGTTAAGTACTACAAAATTCAGTGTGTCTGCTTCTTCGCTGATGACATTGGAAAAGATATGCATGCCTACTTTTATATCATCATTCAATGCATTTTTTGTTATTGTACACTGTACATATTCGATGAAAGCATGCTAACCGCTTTTCAGTACTTTCAGTACTTTGATTTTTTTCCCCTGCCATCTGAGGGATTATGACTGAACGCCTCTAAGTCAGAATCTCGCCCAGATATACAACGATACTCTTTATGCACTTCGGCCTTGGGCGGCAACGATAAGTGTCGGTGGACCGAGTTCGCTCGGCACCGGCAGCGGTAAAGCCACGGCAAGCGACCACACGCACCCGTTGCTCATTGCGGGTGTT